ATCCCCATTTCTATCCATATTGTTGCAAATGAGATTTCTTCCTTTTTTGTGACCAAGCACAGCTCCATTGTATACATTGGACCACATTTTGCTTGTGGACTTGTTAGTAGTTGGCGACTAAGGTTATTGTCATTGCTTGACTGTTGGGAACAGTGCTGCAGTAAGCAGAGGGATGCAGAGGGATGCAGATCTCTGACAGATGAGCTGCATCTCTCCTGGATGTGTATCCAGGATGGAGATTGCTTTATCATGTTAGCTTAAAAAACATATATAAAAAAATTGCATTTTCACCCTGTTTTTCACAATGGCTAATTCACATTGCTGCCTACAGTATGCAAAGTTCTCCTTCCCTATATCTTTGCCACAGTTTGTGATCTTTCTTTTTGATAATAGGTATTCTTACTTGAGTGAGGAGATTGTTCACTGTAGTGGTTATATTTCTTTACTTATTTAGGAGAGAGAAAGAGGGAAATGGAGAGTTGAGAATCTCTTATCTGCTTCCTTGATTATTGAATGTTTTTTATGTGCATTTGCATGTTTTTTGAGAAATGTTTGTTTAGAACCACTGCTTATTTTTAATTGAATTGTTATTTTTGCTATTGAGTTTTTTTAAAATACATGTATAGTCTGGATATATTGCCTGCCATTCTGGAAATTGTTTCTTTACTATTGACGCTTCCTTTAGTGTATACAGATCTTTAGTTGAATAAAATCCCATTTGTCTATTCTCTTTTATTTCCTGTGATTTTGAGTCTGACTTACAAAATCATTGTGCATTTGTTTTTTCTGAAGTCCTTTCCTCTTGTTTTCTTTTAATAGTTGCAGAATTTCAGGATTGGTGGGTTGGTGTTGAACAGGTGTGGATATGTATCCTTGTGAGACCCCAACATTCCATGTCAGAGCAACAGTTTAAGAGACCAGGTTAGGGCCTGGCGTGGTGGCCTAGTAGCTGAATCCTCTCCTTGAACATGCTGTGATCACATACGGGTGCTGGTTCTAATCCCGGCAGCCCCACTTCCCATCCAGCTCCCTGCTTGTGGCTTGGGAAAGCAGTTGAGGATGGCCCTTGGGACCCTGCACTCGTATGGGAGACCTGGAAGAAGTTCCTGGCTCCTGGCTTTGGATCGGAACAGCTCTGGTCAATGCTGTCACTTGGGGAGTGAACCATTAGACTCAAGATCTTCCCCTCTCTGTATATCTGTATATCTAACATTGCAATAAAAATAAAATAAATCTTAAAAAAAAAAAAAAAGGAGAGACCAGGCTAGTCTGACTTTAAATCCGTCTTCCTGATCATGTGCCTTGGAAGACAGTGGATGATGACTCAAGAAAATGGCCTCTGCCGCCCTCTGGGACACCCAGGTGAAATTCTAGCTGCTGACTTCAAAATGGGCGAGCCCTGGCTGTTGGCGACCTCTTGAGAAGTGAACCAATTCTCTGTCTTTGTCTCTCTCTCACTGATGCTTTGCCTTTCAAATAAAATAAATCTTTCATTTTTAAGGGTTTATTTTATTTGAAAGTTGAAGTCACAGAGAGTGGGAAAGAGAGAGAGAGAGAGAGATCTTCCATCTGTTGGCTTACTCCCCAGATAACCACAATGCCAGCCCTACATTTTTATATTCTAGTTGTTTTTTGGGCTCTTGACTTTTCTATGTATAAGATCCTGTCACCTTGGAAATGGTGACAGTTGTTTTCTTTCTAATTTGACTGCCATAATTGCTTTCTCCTGCCTAAGTGTTCTAGCTAGGACCTCCAGGGCTGAGTTGAGTAGAGGAGGAAGAAGATGGGCATGCTTTCCAAGTCAGAAAAAGCCTTCAGCTTTTTTCTATTCGTACAATGCTGACTTCTGTCTTATTAAATGAGTTCATCATTTAATGTTGAACTATGTTCCTTCTATATGTATATCAGTTTTTATATTACAGAGGTGTTGGATTTGTATTAAATACCTATTTTGGCATTCATTCAAATTGTGATTATGTTGGTATGGTACAACCCATTGATTGATTTTTGGGTTATACCATCCTTGCATGAATCCCACTTGATCATCGATAACTGATATTTTTAATGTTATTTATTGCTTTGAAAGAATTTTTAAAAAAGATTTATTTTTATTGGAAAGGCAGATTTACAGAGAGGAGAGACAGAGATCTTTCACCCACTGGTTCACTCCCCAAGTGGCCGCAACAGCTGGAGCTGAGCTGATCTCAAGTCAGGAGCCAGGATCATCTTCTGGGTCGTCTTTGTGGAGGCAGGGTCCCAAGGCGTTGGGCCATCCTCTGCTGTTTCCCCAGGTCACAGGAAAGGAGCTGGAAGGGAAGTGGAGCAGCGGGACACAAAATGGCACTCATATGTCATCATGACCTATTCAAGAGGAGGATTTAGCCACTAGGCTACTGGGCTGGGCCCTGCTTTGTAAGATTTTTACATCTGTCTTCATCATTGTATCTTTTTACCTTTCTCTGATTTTGGTATTGGGCTGATTTCTCATAGAATGAATTTGGAAGATTTCCTTTCTCTTCTTTTTTTGGGGGGTGAGGCTCAGGGAGAAACATGATTTAAGAAGGATTAGTGTAAACTCTTTAAAAGTTTGATAGAATTCAGCTGTGGAACCATCTGGCCCTGATATATATATATATATTTTTTTGATGTGAAATTTTATTATTGATTCAATCTCTGTACTTGGTACTGTTCTGGTTCCTCATGATTCAATCTTGATATAGAATTTATGTCCAAAGATTTTTTCCATTTTTTTCCTGGGCTGTCAAATTTGTTGCCAAATAATTGTTCGTAGTTATATGTCGGGATCCTTTATTTTCCATAGTATGAGTTATAAGTCTCCATTTTACTCACTGATTCTAAGTTTTGTAGTCTTTTTTTATTTTAGCCTAGCTAAGGGTTTATCACTTTTATTTCACTGAACCAGTTCTTTCAGTCTTTTTTAAATATTGCTCCCTTTGTTTCTCATTTATTTGTCCTCTGAGTTTTATTATTTCTTCAGCATTTCTGTATTTGGTTTGTTATAGTTTCTCCAGGAATTTTTTATGATTATTACAAGATGAAGTGCTGTGTCTCAATCAGTTATGTAGTTTTTCTCAAAGTGACTTAGGTATGTGCCTGGCCATTTTGGTGTGATGTGGGTGTTGGAGCTGCTTCTTTAGTTGCCACCCTGGTTCCAGTCCCTGACTGGCACTTACCACAGTTAACCTGCTGGTTAAAACAGATGAAAGTTTTATGGTTAAATTCTTTCACATGAAATAAATCTGGACATCCTTTATGTAACTAATTTCTTATTCAATCAAATTTACATTCAGTGCATTAGCTTTAGTACCACATAGCTGTACACTGTAACTTTTATAAAGATTTGCAGAGATAAAAAATTCACCTACTCTCTGAGTGAATGTGGAAATATTGTTTTCTTTCAGTGCATGCTGGTTGAAAAAGTGGCACTCCTTAAAAGTGATATTGTGTGTGAGATTCTGTGTAGACTTTAACATTTAGAAAATGTCCATGACGGGCAGGCATTTGACGGTGGTTTAGGATCTCTGGACTCCCATATCCTATATTGAAGTGCCTAGGTTTGATTCCAGCTATTACTGTGTGTCCTGGGAGACATTTGGGGGACTCAGATCAAACTTTCAGCTCCCAGTTTTCACCTAGTCCAACAATGGCTGTGGGCAGACATTCGAAGAATGACTCAGCAGATGGCTGTTTGCTGCTGCTGCTGTGTGTGTGTTTGTGCGTGTATGCGTGCATGTTTGCATGTATGCCTTTCATACATTTTTAAAAATCTTAAAGGGGCTAGTGTTGTAGCATCGTAGGTAAAGCTACCTTCTGCATTGCCAACATGCTATAGGGTTGTTGGCTTGTGTCCTGGCTATGCCACTTTCTACCTTGCTGATAATGACCTGGGAAAAGCAGTGGATGACGGTTCAAGAGTTTGGGCCCATGCTAGCAACTTGGGAGATCTGGATGAAGCTCCTGGATCGGACTGGACCTGATGGGATATTTCAACCATTTGGGGAGTGAACCAGTGGATGGAAGACATCTTCCTCTCCAACTCTGCCTTTCAAATATATATGTGTATCAAAGCCATACCTCTTTTTTTTTCCTTCTTTAAAAATTTATTTTGTGGTTGGCGCCATCGCTCAACAAGCTGATTTCTACCTTAAGGTGTCGGCATCTCCTGTGGACATTGATTTTGTGTGCTGGCTACTCCACTTTCAATTTGGTTTCCTGTTTATGGCCTGGGAAAGCAGCAGAGGATAGCCCAGGTCCTTGGGACCCCATGTAGAAGACCCAGAAGAGGCTTCTGACTTCTGGCTTCAGATTGAATCAGCTCTGGCTGTTGCAGCCATTTAAGGAGTGACACAGCAGAGGGAGGATCTTTCACTTAAAGATTTATTTATATTTATTGAAAAGGCAAATTTACAGAGATAGGGATAGAAAGAGCTCTCTGCCACGTGCTGATTCACTCTCCAAATGGCCAGAACAGCTAGAGCGGGGCTTTCCTGAAGCTAGGGCTCATGAGCTTCCTCTGGACCTTCTGTGTGGGTGCAGGGGCCTGAGGACTTGGGCTCCTTTTCCAGACCAGAAGTAAGTAGCTGGAAGGGAAATGGGCAGCCAGGACACAGTAGCACATGCCCTAGAACTTTTAAAAAATGTAATGAAAATATTAAGAGCAAAACTTTAAAGAAAATGTCCATGACATGGGAGAAGAAAAAGTGTGCATTTTCCCCAAAATAAAGAGTACCTTTGGACTCAAGGTATTTATCTTTGTTTTAGATTGGTCACAAATAAGGGCACTAAAATAATTTAAACATAAGTTACATGACCATTATGTGTTTATATATAAAATAACACTATAATCATAGGCAGTAGTTTTAAAAATATTTTGACATGAGCATTTGCCAATATAGAAAATTACAAAGTAATTGCAAGAGAATTTGTTGAATGCATATGGATTAAGACTTCAATTTGACTTTGCTTCTATTCATTTTTAGAAGTATAAAGAAAAGGACAAACACAAGCAGAAACACAAGAAGCAACCAGAACCATCGCCTGCACTGGTTCCATCCTTGACTGTTACTACAGAAAAAGTAAGTTTTTAGTGTCATGTTTTGTTTTGTACAAGAACTACTTATATGTTGTTTGTTCACCCCTAGGATTCTAACTTTTCCAGCATTTAAACTATTCATGAAACACTTAGGATTCTTATTTCTCAGTCTTTTATTATACCTTCTATTGCCCCCATTCTCATTCCACAGCCTGTTATGGGCAGATAGCAGGGGACATCATAACTGTGGTTAAGAATTTGAGCTGTGGATAGATGTAGCCCACCTGAACTTTGAGATTGGACTTTTCCGTTTATGGATTCACTGCTTAGATTAACAGCCCACTTATTAAAGTGGGGGAACATAACCAGCTAAATTTAATAAGAATACAAAAGCAGTTCGAATGCCGTTTTGTTTGTAGCACATCTTATTAAGTGTTAGGTATTGCTAGGATCATCATTGCGTGCTTAATGTGAAAATGAATGGAGGCCTAGAAAGATGACTGGGCAGAGTAAGCAAGTAGAGGAGTGCAGCACGAAATGAGGCAAGATGAAAGGCTAGTGATGTTGGCTTCAATAAACCACTATAAAGAACTTTTTCTTTCTTTGAAAAAAAATTCATTTGAAGATGTATTTATTTTTATTGGAAAGTCTGATATGCAGAGAGGAAGAACTTACATCTGCTGATTTACTGTCCAAGTGGCCTTAATGGTCAGAGCTGAGCCAATCTGAAGCCAGGAGCTTCCTCCGGAGCCTTGTTCAGGTCTCCCATGCGGGTACAGGGTCCCAAGGCTTTGTGCTGTCCTCGATTGCTTTCCCAGGCCCTAGGCAGGGAGCTGGATGGGAAGCAGGGTAGCCAGCACACAAACAGGCTCCCATATAGGATCTGGTATGTGCAATGTGAGGACTTTAGCCACTAAGCTACTGTGCCGGGCCCTGCAAATGTTTTAATATGGGAACTGGGCATTATGATTGCAACAGGTCTAGCTGTCACTGCAACAGTGGCATCCCTTATCAGAGTGCTAATTCAAGGAACAACTGCTTGATTTCTCATCCAACCCCTTGTCAATGTGCCTGGGAAAGCAGCGGAAGGTAGCAGATTATGTACCTGTGCCCCTGCCATTCAGTGGAGTGACTCAGATGCGGTTCCAGGCTTCTGGCTTCAATTTGGCCCAGCCCTGCCAGTTTTCACTGTTTGTAGAATAATTCAGAAGATGGAAGATATCTCAGTGTTTCTCACTCAGTCTTTCAAATCAACAAATCTTTGAAAAATGTTTTTATATATTTGAGAGGCAGACAGACAAAGAGGGAGTGAGAGCAAGAGAGAGTGTGCTCCCTTGTGCTGGTGTGTCCGTGTGTGCTTGGATTGGCTGTGACTGGGCCCGACCCAAGTACTTGTCTGTCTGCATTAGCAGAAAGCTGAAACCAGGAGCCAAGCTACTACTAATCTTAAGACACTGTTTAAGACGCCAGGGGACATGGGCATCTTAAACAGTGTCTTAACTGTTAGGTTAAATGCCTGCACCAGAACTTAGTCTTTTTGAATAAGAGATGAACTAATGAAGAGTTCTGAACTGAAGTGTAACGTGTTTTCACTTGAGTTTTGAAAGGACCTCTGGCTGCTTTTTTGTGTATAGGCTGTAAAGAAGCAATAGTGCAAATCATTAATAAGTTATTGCACTAATACAAAGAAGGTGGTAACACTGGAGCTAGTGAGAGCTGAGCAGATTCTGAATATATTTAATTGTAGAACTCATGTTACCCTCTTATAGATAGGTAAGAAATATCAGAAAAAGAGGTTCAAAGTTGAGAAACAGGCAAAGAGAAATTTTCCATCCACTAATTAACTGCCCAAATGCCTACAGTAGCCTGAGCTGGCTCAGGCTCATCTCAATCCAGCAACATACTCTTGGTTTCTCATGTGGATGGGAGGGAACCAGTTACCAGATTGACCACTGTTGTCTCCTAGTGTCACATTAGCGGGGATCTGGTATGTGGGACGGAGCGAGGGCTCAAACTGAGGCAGTGTTATATGGGATGTGACTGTTTCCAGTGATGTCTCAGCTGCTTAGTCAAATGTCCGTGTCATGAGTTTTTTAAGCTTATTTAGGTTAATGGCAGAATTCAGTTCCTTGTAGGACTGAGGTGTTAATTCCCTCGGTGGCTGCCAGCTTGAGTTCCTACCATTCTCAGAGCCAGCAATGGCACTTTGAATCCTTCTCATATTTGGGGTGTCCTTGATTTCGACTTTCTGCTGCATCTCCTTTGCTTTCAATCAGTGCTATCTTCTTTTCAGGTTTCATGTGATTAGATCAAGCCTTCCTGAAGAAAATGTGGAATAATTTCCTGCTTTAGTTTTACGGGTTAGTTACATCTGTGAAGTTCATGTAACAGGGATCAGGATGTAGACATCTTGAGAGGGCTGCTAGGCTTCCTATAGATACATTAGATTTGAGGCTTCTGCTAAACGTCCAAATATAGATATGGATTGGCAGTTAGATATATCATCTGGCATTCAGGAAAGAGATCTGACTTGAATATAAATGTAGGTGTTGTGTATATGGAATTATTTTGAACCACAGTACTGGATAAACTTTACCAGGAGATGAGATGGTTTAGGAAGAGAAAACAGAAGGCCTTATAAGGCCTAAGCCTCCTTATTGAAATGTCTGGGAGAAGTGTCAACAGCAAAGGCACCTGATAGGAGGAGGCAAGAGTTGGGAAGAAAACCAACCAGATGTGTTGTGTTGGAAACCAAGTTAAAGTATTGTGGAAATAAGTGAATGGTGTCATGTTGTAACATGGGGACAAGCCATTAAGTGATGTGGAGAGCATTAGGGATCTTGATGAGCAATTTTAATATACTGATGGATGCAAAAGCTTGATTCTAGTGGGTTAAAGAGAAGGGATAAATCAGAATATAAATGATTGCTTTGTGCTATAAGGAGGAGCAGAGAAATAGGTGATAATGGGTCAGAGAAAAGGAGATGATAAATGGCACTTTTTAAATGAGAGACATAATTACTTTCTAGTATGCTAATAAGAAATATCCAGTAGAGGCACTGCTAATGATAAAGATGTAGGATAATTGCTAAAGTTATATTTATTCATTTTTTAAAATGGGATTTATTTATTTTTATTGCAAAATCAGATAAGCAGAGAGGAGGAGAGACAGAGAGGAAGATCTTCCATTTGATGATTCACTCCCAAGGGATTACAACAGCCAGAACTGAGCCAATCCGAAGCCAGGAGCCCAGAGCCTCTACTGGGTCTCCCATGTGGATGCAGAGTCCCAAGGCTTTGGACCATCCTCGACTGCTTTCCCAGGCCACAAGCAGGGAGCTGGATGAGAAGCAGGGCTGCCTGGATTAGAACCGGTGCCCATATGGGATCCTGGCACGTTCAAGGTGAGGACTTTAGCCACCAGACTACTGCACCGGGCCTGAAAGTTAAGTTTCTTAAATTTATGAGGATAGATACAACAGAGACAAAGATAGAATCCAAATATGAGGAAGATTCAACATGTCATTGCTGGCTCTGAGAATGGAATGGATCAAATGGTGGAATGTGGAAAAAATCCTAAGGGAGGCTCTGGCTACTAAGGGCTGGTCCCCAGATGATAAAGGGAGAATGCTTCTTAATGGAAGAGATAACATGTATTGCTGAGCTGAAAAATTTAATTCAATGATAGGAAATATGGTAATATACACTCGGCTTAGACACATGTGAAGAGATTTTGTGGTACATCTCTTCTGATTATTTTCAGTGGAATAAGAATCAGTGTTGGGCCCGGCGCGGTGGCGCAAGTGGTTAAAGGTCCTCGCCTTGCACGCCCGGGATCCCATATGGGCGCCGGTTCTAATCCCGGCAGCCCCGCTTCCCTTCCAGCTCCCTGCCTGTGGCCTGGGAAAGCAGTCGAGGACAGCCCAAAGCTTTGGGACCCTGCACCCGCGTGGGAGACCCAGAAGAGGCTCCTGGCTTCGGATCGGCATAGTATCGGCCTGTTGCGCTCACTTGGGGAGTGAATCATCGGACGGAAGATCTTCCTCTCTGTCTCTCCTCTCTGTATATCCGCCTTTCCAATGAAAAAATAATAAAAATAAATCTTTAAAAAAAAAATATTAAAAAAAAAATAAAAAAATAAAAAAAAAAAAAGAATCAGTGTTGGTAGTTGTGATGATAACAAAAAAAAAAAAAGAAGAAGAAAGACATGAAATAAATAGCCATGATGATGGGAAATAGGATCCAGTGTTGTGTTAACATCTCATAAAGGCAGGTTTGAATCCCAGCTGCTCTGCTTCTGACCTGGCATCTTGCTAATGCTCCTGGGAAGACAATGGAAAATGGCCCAAAAGTCGTTAAGTGCCTGCTTAGGTGTGGTGACCAGGATGCTGTTCCAGGTTCTTGGCTTTGGTTTGGCTCTGTCCTGGGTATTCAGCCATCTGGGGAGTGAGCCAGTGGATGGAGACTCTCTCTCACCTTCTTTGTTTCCCTCCAATTTTTTCTCCCTCTGTTCCTTTGTCCTTCCCTTTCTCACTCCCAACCTCTCTAAATTTGCTTTCCACATAACACAGAAATAACTAAAACCTTGAAAAATGGGAAGATTTACTAGGGAAGTTTATTGTGGTTACCTGGGTAGCCACAGGTTCCATGTCCATTCTTGGCTGCTTCTATGGTTATGGCAGTAGAGTAGGATTTGATAGGGTGATTTTGCCATATGAATACAGTGAGTGGATTGAGGGTGAATGCAAGGGGAGTTGTAATGATGTGTCATGGTATTCTGTCTTACGAGGTGGAGAAATAAGGGTAGTGGAGAGCGTGGGCTAATAAGTGATGGTTAATGGTTCCTGTTGAGTTTAGAGGACTGTTGGAGAAAAGGAGAGAGCACTGAATTTTCATGGAGAGTAAGATGTATGAAGTGGAGATTATAAAGGGGTTGCAATTAGTAATAATATTTAGAATATGATCAGGAGTGTTAAGGTCTGATATAGGGAAGAAGAACAGGTGATGAAAGGAGATTGTTAAGGAATGGCGAGACTAGAGAGG